AGCGGTTGAGGTGGTTAAGAGCGAGGCGAGTGTGTGTTGTAATTATCTCAGGAAGGACGAGCCCGTCTCTGCTGAAGAGACACCTCTGAGCGAGCTGCCTCGGGTTTCGGAGGAGCCAGCAGCATTTGTCTGAAGGTAGCACAGCGCACAATGGAAATAAAGATGTAAGTTTTCTTTAACAGCTGAGGTAATTAGCTGTTGGAGGAGCTCACCAAGAGATGTGCTGGACTCCCTGAAGTCGAGAGTCTTTAATATACAATCAAATGTTTCTTCTTAAATTTGTGAGCTTGATATAGGCAGGAATTGCTAAGGGAAATCTCCGGCTCGTGGATGTGTGGGAGGTCAAACCAGAGGAGAACTACCGTCTCCCCTGGCCTCACGCTCTAGGAACCAGTTAATCTATTTTTAATATATCAAAGAAATGATCAGAGTAATGTATGTTACTTAACAAATGATCTGGACTTTAATTACATTATTAATACATTACATGATTAAAACACTGTATCCCCTTCAGAATGTAGCACAGGAACTACGCCGTGGATGAATTTAAGCATAGGGAGGGATTGCGTGAAAGTCATCATAGGAGGAGACACCACCAATGGGCCAAGCCACTCCTCTATTTCTGCACGTTAAATATCCACTGTATTGCTTTCTCTGGGCTTGCTGGCTTTTACTGGTTTATAGTAATAACTTCGACATCTTGTTCAATGTGTTTTGAATAGCACAGATCTATAGACCTAAATCTAGTATAGCCTGGTCCAAACCATTTACTAAACTCAAACGTGGCGTGTATTTGGATCTGGGGTTCAGCGTGAGAAGGTGCAGTTATGCTGACTGTGTTTTCAAAATCCCAGTCCGGAGTGCCTCCAGGGTTGGCTTGGGGTCCTTGAAGGGTCATAAAACCACCCCAGAAAAGTGCATTTCCAGAGAGACCTCTATTGGAGGAGGAACTGCCCGCACTTGACTCCACGTTGTTGTGAAGCGGAGGCAATTTCTCAGGAATTTACGGCCAGGTTTTCAGCAGCTGGCCTCAGTTTGCTTATGTGCCTATGTCCTGTGGGTTTCAAAGTGAGTTAGGTGCCAGCATACCCTCAAGGGATCTGGGCTTCAGGGTGAGGAATTTGGGGACAACAGGGGACACAGCCTTGTGATGCTCCCTCTGACCGAGACACAGCGGCTTGGGCAGTGCCTCGACAAGCACCGCTTGCCATGCCGAAGCCTTGCTTTGTCGGGCTTCTTGTCACAGGAGTAAATTCCATTTCCTGAAGAGTTATTGTGTAAGTTAGAAATGTGTTTTCTGTGACCAGGTGAAGTATTTGGCTCTCTCTCACATGCTGTAAGATGTTCCTTTCACATCTCCCTTGGCTTGCGTGTACAAATTTGCAGAGAAAAAAGGCAAATAGGTATTGGCTGTCTGAGCCATGCTTTAAAATGTACTAATTGAAATTCAAGTGCTGGAAATGGCTGTGATGGTGAAAACGGAAGCAGATTGGGCTGGTAGGAATGAACAAGCACTGTTGGGATGAACAGTCAGACAGTGGCCTACCAGATTGCTCTGCAGCCAGTGGGAGCTGTTTTAGACCCTGGATAAACTGAATATTTGTCTTATCCTAATGCCTACTCAGCCTGTTCCTCTTCCTGGTGGCAGGATACATTTCTGATGACACTCTGATTTTTCTGCCATTTTCTCCTGCTGGGGTCTCCCGAGGTTTTTGCTGCCAAGGCTAGGCTTATCGCAGTCCCATTGTCTTTGGATGGGGTCGATTAAAATTCTGGACATCCTTTGCATCACTTGGGCGTAGACCATAGTGTGGCTTTGGGAGAGTGCTGCAGTGAAGGTTTACCATGGTTGCCATCTGCGTCCAACGCCAGCTCTTCCCTTTGCTTTCCCATTCATCCCTAAGCTCCCAACTAGTCTCAAGTAGAATTTCAGTATGTTACACTTGTGCTTATATATGCTTTTTCCTTGCCTATGAAGGTCTGGATTGGAGCATATGTTCCTGCCTACTCGCTGGGCAGTTGGTTGGTTCCTTGGCAGTCATCTTCTGCCACCTCAGTGTCCCCCTTAGACCGCTCTCTCTGCATTTGTTTTGTGCTTGTTTCCAGTAGAGTTACATGCTCTTGCTCTGCGTTTCACCTTTTATTCTAGCCCAGCAAGCTGCATGGGTCAGGTACCCAACTCACCTCAGCCAAACTGGCCTAGAAGACACTGTCTCCACAGACTGGCCAAGCTGCTGAGGATCTAGTAGACCTGAGTCTGCTGACTTCTGCCAGAAGCAAGCAGCAGCTGCAGTAGTACAAGAGCTTGAAGATGTGGGAGAAGGTGGGCGCGTGCATGCAAATGCACTGTGCATGGAGCTTATGAGTGGTGAAAGGGGATGCAGACTTTGGTGACTGTGCGCTTCCGTGGCCGTAGTGCAAGATATTGTGCGGCTCGCTGCATCAATGCCTGGATTTTTACATGGGGACCGAAGATGTGGGAACTACCCTGGATGAAACACAGCTGGAAGATGGGGTGAAAGAGCAAGAGCAGTCTTCAGAAGAAGCCCTGCTGCAGTCCATGGGGCTGCTGAGGTGTGGGGTGGCCTGAAAACAAGCTCTGAGGCTGTGCGCAGGGCTAGGCTGAATGGGAAGCAGCAGTGGAGTAGGCACTGAAGCTGGTAAGTGGCATCTGCTCTTTGTTGTCATTAGGGGAGAAGCTGCTGAGAGGTGGGGAGACCTTCTCACCTCAGTAAAGCTGTTCTGTGGAAGGATGTCACAGGGCACTGGAAGTGGCTTTGGCTTAGGGAAGAGCCACATCCTTTCCTTGGCTCCTTTTCTTCTCTGACTCCTTTCATATTTAATCCAATATGGGTTTCAAGTAGTGTAAATTTGATTACTTAAAAATAAAAAAAAAAAAACCAACAAAGCTGGGGTTGCTGGTCAAGCAAGCACAAGCTGTATTTCAACACACACTTCGCTCTTCGGTCTGTTAGCAGTACAAGTCTCTGCCAGCCTTTGTATTTTCTCTCATGTAACTGGAATGATAATTGCTAGTGAACGTATGAAGGGAAATGTTGTGCAGGAATGGCCGAGTGGGGATTGCAGTGGTGTTTGTTAGCAACACGACAGTCAGCTTGGGGGTCAGAAGGAAGAATGCTGCATGGTGCCCCAGAGCCCCGTCACTGTTCACCTGGATTTCACTGGGCCTAGCAGGTGATGCTTCACCATGTTTCATGTAGGAATAATCCAAGAAGACTGGTATAATTACTGGGCAAAGAAAATATCCTACAGCTGCCTTTATTGTACTTTTTAGGTCTTCTCCAGGCTTGTAGTGCTGTTCAAAAAGCCAATGATAAAGTCTTCCTCACACAGCCTACTCAGAGGAGAGGCAGGAGTCTCTTCTCTATTTCTGTGGTCTAAAAATAACATTTGGTTGTTGCCTTGGCAGGGTCTACTGTCTCTCTTGGTCCAAGGCAGACATCCAGGCCTCTTGAGGAGAGGACCTAAACCAGCATGGAGAAAGGTGGCCTGTTGTAGCAAATGCATGGTGACGTTGGGTGTCAGGCAAGCAGCTGGAGCACTGAAGAAGGAAAGAGGAGGGATCACGTAGGGGGAAAGCCAGCAGGTCCACTCACTGCTTGGAGTAGGTTGAACACTGCAACAACACTTGCTTGACAGCAGCTCAGCTACATGGTCACGAAGCTGCAGTCATGGCTCCTCATCCCCCTCTGGATCTACTGACTGTATTCAGCTCTCCATGGCATGATGCATGCACCCTCTAAACCTCCAAGCAGCCTGTATCAAGACATGGAGAACAGACTCTTGGCATTTGTTTCCACTGCAAGGGATGCTTTGGTGCTCACAGGTTCACTGATGGCATATTTTGGATTTAATCTTTGGATATTTTTGTCACTTAGTTTGTTGTTAATTGTTTGCAGGAGTGTGGAGTGTTTGTAATGATATTGAATTCTCTTAACATGATGTCTTCATTAATAAACAAAAGTGGCTATACCGTACTTTGACATTTGAGTGTTTAGGAAAGAAGGATGGGTGACAGAATTGTGTTCAGATGCCTCCACTGCTTGTCTCGCTCTTCTCACAGAGCCTATATGTGAAGTGTACCCCAACACAGTACAGCATGACATACCTTTTGCATCTCACTATGCAAGCAGGTGAGCTCATAAGTCGTCCTGCTTTTCCTTTGCACCCAGCTCCGTCATAGATAACTGCACTTCACAGGTGTCTATATCCATCCCACAAACCAGCAGCATCTTGGGCTCACTTCCATGCCATATTGCTTCTTGGCGTGATACGTTGCATAGCTGGGTAGCCCAGATACGGTTGGCTCCCCCTGCTTCCATGTGGTTTTGCAGACCGTGCCAGCTGGCCTCTCGCTTGCCTTGTGCACTCCAGCAGCAATCTACAGCTGCTGAGAGCTGTGAAACCTGCAGAGCAGTGCTTAAGGTCCAGGTGTAGCCTGAGGCACCAAGGAAATAGAGTGGATGCATTAACAAATGGTGAGTGCTGGCACCCTGTCATTATCCTGTTTAGGCCTGGAGGACAGCACTGTTGAAAGGGCTCACAACCTCAGTCTTAAAAAAAAAAAAATTATCTGCTGGTGCTACAGCATAGCACTAGTAGGAGCAGACAAACGTGCGGAGCTGGAGGTGCCTATATGTGGCGCTGGTCCATGTCCAAGGTCTTAGGAAGACCACACAAGTCCAGCAAAGGGAGGACAGCCACATTTTCCTACAAGACACCATGAAATATTTCCTATGGCTATGAGATCATAGGCTATGAGATAAGCTTTAGAAAGCTTACCTGCAATCCCTTTTAGCTCTCCCATAAGCGTGAATTGAGGCATAAGCTGTGTGCGGCTTTGTGGTGTGGCTGTAGGCAGGTGGTATAGCAAGTGCAGGAGTCCATACGGGCTCTGTGCTGAATGTGGGCATGTGCTTGTATAACGCTCAAGGTCATTGCTGTTGTTTCATTAAAATGAGATATGTTAGAGATTGCGTTTGTGTTTTGGTGTCGCGTCAGAGAGCTCCTAGTTACAGATTAGTATTGGTTTGCACGTGGCTGTCGCTAGTTGTTGCCATGCTTTGTAGTGTCTAGATTGCATGGAAGTAATTTGGACAATGTAGTTAAGTTAATGAGTTTATGTGTGAGGATAACTTTCTCAAAGATTGTAATGCCCATGCAAAACTGTCCAAGAGTGACCAATTTTCTTATGATTCTCATGATTTTTTTAAATTTTGCTTTCCGAACACCGGAGAAAAATGATTTCAAGCACTATATCTACCAAGTGGGATTTAGGAAATCACTGGGACCAACATGAGGATGGGTGATGGAGCTATGGTCACATTTGAATCATGCTTGGGGTCAGTGAGACTGGGTCCTCTCGGTGGTGGTCGGGAGGATTTTGGAAACGCGACAGGAGCACGTTCATAGCACCAAGACTTGCCTGAGCTCAAAGAGAGCCTGAAGCCGTGATCCTGGCCCCCCCGCCATAGCCCTCGACCGTCAGGTGAGCCTGCCTGCCTTCAGAGCCATGTCGGAGAGAGCAGCTCATCCAAAGCTCATTGGAGCTCGACAACGAATGCTAACGACCCAGCTGAAGTAAATAAATAAATAAGTGAACCAGAATTGTCATCTCATGCCTTCAGATAGCTGGACACAAACATGTTTCTCTGTTGGTTCGTATTTGTGCATAGGCAGGATGGTGCCCAGTAGAGACGTGGTGCTGTTTTGGGATGAGAGCAGGTGGATACGGAGTATACGCGTTCTCCCTATGGAGAGCTGCAGGTTGTTCGATCTCTCATGGTTTTAAGCTCTCGGTCGAACCTTGTCCTTGTGTAATGCAGAAGTGATCTGGCTCCAGCAACCTCCTGTCAAAGAGCTTGTTACGCAGTACTGATTTCAGTTTTAAAGCAAGCCTTTATGATTTGGCTAAGATATAACTTTCTTTGATACTCAAAACTAGGAGCCCTCAGTCCTCGGGAGATACTCAGAAAAGCTACACCATTGCCTTGAATGGGAAACTGCCGAGACTTTTATTCTTTACATCGTTTCACTGACTAATTCTGGCTTGTGGCCTATAGATCTGTGAGATATGGATCAAAGAGGCAGGGAGATAAAAGTCTTATACCGATCTTACCAACTAGTAGTTGCTCTGCCACTTTAGTGGTGTATGCTATGATGCTTAATTCAAATCTAAAAATCAATAGAAGCTGTGTCTACTTCATCTGCATTCATGGCAAGGACTGTTTTTACTGCAGCATGGCTCGCTACGTCGTCTTTGCAGATATGCACAGTAGTTGTTGCTGTTAACACTTGGATTGATATGCCGGGTTCCCATCTCATTCCTCAAACTCAAGTTAAACCCTTTTTGATGCAGTTCTTGTTTTATGAATATTTGAGCCTGAGCAGTTTAATGCTGAACTTGAAAGTATTTTCTGTACTAGCAAGATGACATAATGTACTAAGGTATTACTGTCACTGCTGTGCTTTGCAGTCCCCAAGCAATCTGGGAGGAATTTTTTAGAAATTATGTTGGTTGTAGGCACATCTTATTTGAGTACAGTTTCCTGAAAAGTCACTTCCACTGCCTCCGCGCCACAAGGCTGAGAGCCTCCATGGGCGTTAATGAGCTTCATTCCCTCCTGGGCAGCGGAAGTGTCTAATTCTACTGGGTGCTGGCCCCTGCTGGCCCCTCTCCAGGTCCATGTTAGGGAACTTTTTCCCTGGTCTGTGTTGGCTTTCTTGAAATCTTTTTGGCCTAATGGAAGCCTGACTGTGTCCTGCCAACCATCTCCCATCTTTGAGCTGCTGTTATTAGAGCTAAGTTTTCCATTGTGGATTTGTGCTCATGTTAGTTTTCTCCCTTTCCTGAAGTTGTCCTCTACTATTATGCTGGAGATAATTTGTAATGCTACCTTGACACGGTTATACAATAACCTACTTTTGGAGAATAAAAATTCAGCTCAGGCATGCCTGTCCCAGCAACGTGTGGTCACTGCCATTGTTATAGGGATTAAGATTATATATTCACTGAGCAAAATTGTAATGATTTGGCAGTTGAAGTAATTCTTTTCAATTGCTTAATCATTTCACACTAGTTCTCTTCAGCTCAAACTCTTTCAAAACACTGGCCTTAGCATTTCGTTAGCATCCTATTGTATTGTGGTTTGTAAAGGCTGTCTATGGAGGCAGCAGGTACATTAAAGGAGTCATACAGTCACAGAACCATTTAGGGTGGAAGGAGGCTCTGGAGAGCTCTCTCTGGTCCAACCCCTGCTCAATCCAGGGCCAACCTCACAGCTGGATTGGGTTGCTCAGAGCCTTCCCCAGGCCAGCTGTGATGCTTACCCACACCTCTCCAGGTCCTTGTCCTAGGGTGTGACCACACGGTGTTGTGAAAATGTTTTTCTTTTTACCCCACAGGAAGTTCCCTTTTGGCAACTTAGGCCTATTGCGTGTTGTCTTGTTCTTAGTGGGCTGCAATTAAACTCAAAATCCTTGCAAATACACTTTCAGTATTGTGGCTGCTAAAACAAATGCCTACTGGTGAAATGTGGTTGATGGGAGTAAAACAAGGAAGAGAACTGGGAGGAGTTGCACCTGTAATTCGAGTAACCCAACTGTTTGGAGAAAGATGAGCTCATCTGATGAAGTGGTTGAATACAGAGTCATTGAGATAATGCTTATAGCAACAATGTGCATGCTTGATCCAGTCTCTGCTGCCTTAACAGCTCTTTATCTTGCAAGTCTGACTGCTTTTCTAAGAAAATCATTTGCGCTGTCAACAATAGCATTTAGTAAAAATAGCAGCTAGATGCCTGAGAAACTCCAGGAACTTCAAATTGGAAGGTCACAGCTCAGCAGCTGCCCTCTCTTGTGCTGGCTGTAGCATGGATCGGCTGTGGAAAAAGGGTCCTCACCCACCAGGCTGCTGGGCTGCTTGCTCTCCGTGGCTCTTGGCTGCCAGGAAGGAGAGAAACACTTGAGTGCGGAGCAAGGAGGTGGAGGCAGGAGGAGCAAGGGGCAGGCAGAGGGGCCAGGCAAGGTTTTCCTCCCGCCTCCCTGCTGTGGCCCTGGGCCACATCCCATCCCTGTCCCCTCACTGGAGATGTGCTAGGCTGTGCTGTGCCGCAGTCCCTCCTGGGCATACCAGCAAAGGCTCCCGGTTTTGCCCTTATCTCAAACCTTGAAGGTCATTACAGTTTAGGGCTCAAGGGCCCAGATTATGAATTAGAAAGTAAATTAAGATTTGCTTGTGGAAGAAGCTGAAAAAATTGGACAGTGTTGGAGCGAGCATTAGGCTGCCTGGCTGATTAATAGCTGTTTTTCCGAAGGCGGAGTTGCTCTGCTATTCCGGGTGTTGGCTTGTTGGTTTTTTCTGTTGTGTTTTGTTTTGCATTATACTGATGGAATATAAAGCAAGAAAGCCCTCTTGGAAGCGTTGTACTCCAAGAGTCCACGCGACGAGGGAACGTTGCCACAGTAACTGTTGTTTTGCACAGGTTTTTCCCTATCATTCAGTCTCCTGAAGCGGGAGGGCAAAGGCATGCCTCCCCTGGAAGAAGCATCAGACGTGAGAGCAACGGCATGATTTCACGTGGGTCGGTCGCCGCACAGCCGGCGCTCGGGCAGAGCGCTAGTCCGCTTGCGAGCCAGGGCTCTTCCTTCCCCCAAATCACTGCCAAACAGCCCAGAAGTCAGTCAGTCACTTCCCCGCAGCCTCCCCCAGAGTTAGCCTCTCCTCCTGGTTTGCCTGGCCCCTACGTGGGGCTGGCAGTGCAGGAGGTGGTTGTGGAGCTGCTTACGAGCGGCAGGTTTGCAGGCCCACAGCTGTAAGTTATTGTGGTCCTTATTTAAAGCACAGCCTGGGGGCTGCTCCCTCCCCTAGCAGCAGTGAGGAGGCTGGGAAGGGGCTGGCAAAGCTGGTTTACTCCCCTTATACCTACCTAAGGTGAGTTATGCCTTATCTTTCTTTGCAATGATTTGTTTGCCCTGTCAACAGAGCAGGGGGTGGAAGGAGAAGGTGTGTGGGGGACCCAGGGCTTTCTTAAGTGTTCTGGTTAACTAAATTAAAATATGGGCTGGGGAATTGGCTTCTGCAGGTCCTTAGTGAGGCTCTCATACCAGTGCTGTATTGGTGCCTCTTGAGCCTGATTTGAGGCAACTTCTCCAGGTTATCAGGTGAGATGTTGGGCTGAGCTGCAGCCAGGGAGAGCTGGTGCTGGAAGGAGAGATGGGTTTTGGGAATGGGGCTGAAGT